CCCTGTATGTCTGAGACAGCAATGGTCTACTATTCCCTGTATCTCTGAACCAGCTAGGGTCTACTTTTCCCTGTATCTCTGAACCAGCTAGTGTCTACTGTTCCCTGTATCTCTGAACCAGTTAGGGTCTACTGTTCCCTGTATCCCTGAACCAACTAGGGTCTACATTTTCCTGTATCTCTGAACCAGCTACTGTCTACTGTTCCCTGTATTTCTGAACCAGCTAGTGTCTACTGTTCCCTGTATCTCTGAACCAACTAGGGTCTACTGTTCCCTGTATCTCTGAACCAGCCAGGGTATACTTTTCCTGTATCTCTGAACCAGCTAGTGTCTACTGTTCCCTGTATCTCTGATCCAGCTAGGGTCTACTGTTCCTTGTATCTCTGAACCAGCTATTGTCTGCTGTTCCCTGTATCTCTGAGCCAGCTATGGTCCACTGTTCCCTGTTTCTCTGAACCAGCTAGGACTTACTGTTCCCTGCATCTCAAAACCAGCTAGGGTCTACTGTTCCCTGTATCTCTGCCAGTGAGCCAGCTAGGGTCTACCGTACCCTGTTTCTCTGCCAGTGAGCCAGCTAGGGTCTACTGTACCCTGTATCTCTGAACCAGCTAGGGTCTACTCTTCCCTGTATCTCTGAAACAGCTAGTGTCTACTGTTCCCTGTATCTCTGAACCAGCTAGGTTCTACTCTTCCCTGTATCTCTGCCAGCGAGCCAGCTAGGATCTACAGTTCCCACAATATCTGCCAGTGAGCCTGCTATGGTCTACTGTTCCTTGTATCTCTGCTAGTGAGCCAGCTAGGTTCTACTGTTCTCTGTATCTCTTAACCAGTTAGGGTCTATTGTTCCCTATATCTCTGCTAGTGAGCCAGCTAGGGTCTACTGTTCCCACAATATCTGCCAGTGAGCCAGCTATGGTGTACTATTCCCTGTATCTCTGAACCAGCTAGGGTCTACTGTTCCCTGTATCTCTGAACCAGCTAGTGTCTATTGCCCCCTCTATCTCTGAACCAGCTAGGGTCTACTTTTCTTGTATCTCTGAACCAGTTAGGGTGTACTGTTCCCTGTATCTCTGAGACAGCTAGGGTCTACTGTTCCCTGTATCTCTGAACCAGCTAGTGTCTACTGTTCCCTGTATCTCTGAACCAGCTAGTGTCTACTGTTCCCTGTATCTCTGCCAGTGAGCCAGCTAGGGTCTACCGTACCCTGTTTCTCTGCCAGTGAGCCAGCTAGGGTCTACTGTACCCTGTATCTCTGAACCAGCTAGGGTCTACTGTTCCCTGTATCTCTAAACCAGCTAGGGTCTACTGATCCATGTATCTCTGAACCAGCTTGTGTCTACTGTTCCCTGTATCTCTGAACCAGCTAGGGTCTACTGTTCCCTGTATCGCTGAACCAGCTAGGGTCTACTGTTCCCTGTATCTCTAAACCAGCTAGGGTCTACTGATCCATGTATCTCTAAACCAGTTAGTGTCTACTGTTCCCTGTAACTCTGAGACAGCTAGGGTCTACTGTTCCCTGTATCTCTGAGACAGCTAGGGTCTACTGTTCCCTGTATCTCTGAGACAGCTAGGGTCTACTGTTCCCTGTATCTCTGAGACAGCTAGGGTCTACTGTTCCCTGTTTCTCTGCCAGTGAGCCAACTATGGTATACTGTTCCCTGTATCTCTGAGCCAGCTATGGTCTAGTGTTCCCTGTTTCTCTGAACCAGCTAGGGTCCACTGTTCCCTGTATCTCTGAACAAGCTAGGGTCTACTTTTACCTGTATCTCTGAACCAGCTAGAGTCTACCATTCCCTGTATCTCTGAACCAGCTAGGGTCTACTGTTCCCTGTATCTCTGCCAGTGAGCCAGCTATGGTCTACTGTTCCCTGTATTTCTGAGACAGCTAGGGTCTACTGTACCCTGTATCTCTGAACCAGCTTGGGTCTTCTGTTTCCTGTATCTCTGAACCAGCTAGTGTCTACTGTTCCCTGTATATCTGAACCAGCTAGGTTCTACTGTTCCGTTTATATCTGCCAGTGAGCCAGCTAGGATGTACTGTTCCCAATAGCTCTGCCAGTGAGCCAGCTAGGGTCTACTGTTCCCTGTATCTCTGAACCATCTAGGTTCTACTGTTCCCTGTATCTCTGAACCAGCTAGGGTCTACTGTTCCCTGTATCTCTGAACCAGCTCGGTTCTACTGTTCCCTTTATCTCTTAACCAGCTAGGGTCTACTGTTCCCTGTATCTCTGAACCAGCTATGTTCTACTGTTCCCTGTATCTCTGAGCCAGATATGGTCTACTGTTCCCTGTATCTCTGAACCAGCTAGGTCTACTGTTCCCTGTATATCTGAGCCAGCTAGGGTCTACTGTTCCCTGTATCTCTGAGCCAGCTAGTGTCTACTGTTCCCTGTATCTCTGAATCAGCTAGGGTCTACTGTTCCCTGTATCTCTGAACCAGCTCGGTTCTACTGTTCCCTTTATCTCTTAACCAGCTAGGGTCTACTGTTCCCTGTATCTCTGAACCAGCTATGTTCTACTGTTCCCTGTATCTCTGAGCCAGATATGGTCTACTGTTCCCTGTATCTCTGAACCAGCTAGGTCTACTGTTCCCTGTATATCTGAGCCAGCTAGGGTCTACTGTTCCCTGTATCTCTGAGCCAGCTAGTGTCTACTGTTCCCTGTATCTCTGAATCAGCTAGGGTCTACTGTTCCCTGTTTCTCTGCCAGTGAGCCAGCTAGGGTTTACTTTTCCCTGTATCTCTGAACCAGCTAGGGTCTATTTTTCCCTGTATCGCTGAACCAGCTAGCGTCTGAAGTCTTGCTACACTACAAAGTCATTCTCAGATTCTCTCCAAGAATATTGTCATCAGCAGGCATGCACCACAGCTCCATGAGGTAACCATAAAAATAGAACTCACTAAGAGAAGGACCGTGTCCCAAATGACCCCCTATTCCCTACATAATGCACTACTTTTGACCAGATCCCTATGGGCCCTAGTCGAAAGTAGTGCCCTACGTAGGCAATAGGGTGCCAGATTTGAGACAATACCATTTGGCATGTAGCCAAGATAAAGTGACATACAAGATAGTGAACACTTCAATCAGTTCACCTAATTAATACACAGGTTTTAGCTCAGCAGGCTAACACATTGATTTGGTGTGTAGAATCCCTGGCTTCGAACCCCAGGTCTGGTTGGTCACATCATAAGCTATAATGATTTATGCACCAACTGTTTTGTTATTTCTCTCATAATTTGCTCTCGGGGTCTATTAGTGCTAAATAGGTATAGTTTGACAGGGAGGACTGTTGATCCTGAGTCATTACTCTGGGGTCTATTAGTGCTAAATAGGTATGGTTTGACAGGGAGGACTGTCGATCCTAAGTCATTGCTCTCGGGATCTATTAGCGCTAAATAGGTATGGTTTGACAGGGAGGACTGTCGATCCAGAGTCAATTGGAAAGCATTATATTACTGTATCAATGGCTGAAGTCTTGCCCATTTGCAATGCAATTAAAAACTCAATTTTCGAAGAGCTTAGCAGCGGTTGATAAACGAGTCAGTAATCCGCTAACTGCTCCTCTGTTTGGCTGGAGCACAATAATGATTGACGGGTAGTGACGGGAGAGAGAGAGTGGCGGAGAGGATACTAAACTCACTGAGGACTTTCTAGAAAATAGTAAATAGGTTACACATAGAGAACCGAAACATTGGTGGTAGGCAACAGACCCATACCAATAAATATAAATATATTGCTGTAGTGGGTTCAGAAAAAAAGTGATTCGCAATGGCATTCTTGGGTCTCAATCATGCATCATGAGTGAAAAAAAGGGACAGTAATTACGGCAATAATAATTATTATGAAAATGTAATTAAAAACGACCAATAACATAGAGAAATAGAGAGATCTAAATATGAATATTTAGGCTATAAGGCATAATCGCCACCAGCTTTGTAGGCTGTTTCTCTCATTCCCCAGTTCCAGTCACTTCAGAACCATGGACTAGACTCCGTAACAAGCACCTCATGCAGCGCACTCTATCCGGGGTTCTGAAAGGAGAGCGAGGAGGTCACAGACATACATGAATAGTGCTTTTCATTAGGATAGGGTTTGCCCACGCTATTAAAATAATTAGGAAATCAAAGATAGTCTATAGGTTTTTAACATGCTAGTCTATATAGATGTTTAACAATAATTGTAAGTCACTTCTGTTCATAGCAGTATGACAACACATTCACGAATACCAGAGTTTATGTGTAGTAGATTCCGGGCTGTTTTGAATAGCTTCTAATTATGAATCCACTTGTGTTCTTTGTTTTGCCTCAACTCTATCCGTGCTCACTAACACCAACTTCCCCTCATCATATCCTTGAGGCGGCAGCTGCACCAGCTGTAAGCAGTTAGCTACTGTAGCCAATTGAAAGGCATTGGCCGCCTGAGATTGCCATGCTTTCTCCTATTGATTGCGCGCGGATACAGTAATGTGGACGAGCGTGATACTTGTGTCTTGCAGTCAGTCCTACTAGTGGAGCCGAGCTGGGCTAGCGGTAGCCGGTAACGGAGTCCGGTGCACACAGAAGGAGGGAAGCTTTCTGATTCAACGTCTGATAACATTTAATCAAAATCGCCACTGGTCCAATCGGAGGAGCTTGTTTTCTTAATCAGATCAGCTAGTTTCTCCACCACCATCTTTGGGACGGATAAGTCCCTGCCCCTCTCTCTCTCTCTCTTTCTCTCTCTCCTCTCTCTCTCTCTCTCTCTCTCTCTCTCTCTCTCTCTCTCTCTCTGTCTGTCTCTCTCTCGCTCTGTCTCTCTGTATCTGTCTCTCTTCTCGCCTCTCACAGTTGCAGAAATTTGCTCCGCAGCCTGTGCTGCACCTTAATGAACCCAATTGGTGCACTGTGAGCGACCATCATAAATCTGAAGGATTTTCAGCGTCCGCGGGGTTGCTTATGAATTTGCTTAGGCAGACCCTTTTAAGGAGTTGAGTACGTACACCGGTTGGAGAAATTGAGAAAATGGCCCAAAACGTGGTTCTATTTTTATTGTGGCTTTCGGGCAGATCACTCGCAGGATTTCCCAATCAGATTAATATAGGTAAGTGGTTCGTAAAATAATTATAAAATAATTTAAGAATAATTTTGGCTTCTCCCCCCCCCCCCCCCGTCATTTGATGGATAATGCCTGTTCTTGGTTATCTTCCGAGTAGGACCTTTATCGTGTGTGTTATTAAGTAGGTTAGCTTGCTTTGCTTGCAGTAAGAAATTGTGAACTTGCCCCGCCGCTTTGATTACAGATTTTAAGAAATACAACGTTAGCAAAATGCTTGAAACAATCTACCACATTGAATGGTTCACGGGAAAATGTTGCAACTTCATAAGGGTGAAAATTGGAGGGAGCAATTCCGCAGTAACAGATTTCTGTAGACAGAATGATGAGGAGTAAAGAAGGATTATGTGTGATCTCTTTCTCCTAATTCATTTGACGCACGATCCTGCCTGCATGATCTATGGTGTTTGATTTAAAACTTGATTTCCGTGTATAAACAGAATGACGGGGATCGCTGCAGTTTAACAATTCGTATGTAAGCTACATACAAGTGAAGTGCCACTGAAGTCGATGTCTTCCTCAAGTTTTGCTCGACAGGCTGTAGGTAGGCTACCCTACCTACCGTCCGTGGGTTGGTTTTTGCAAGGGCCAGTGGTGGTTCCCTCCGGCGTCTATAAAAAGGCAGAAAGAGTTGGATGTAAAATGTGTGTAAATAATGATGGCAGTCTAAGTCCATTATGTATCTGTATGTCTTCTAGGTGGTCTGTTCATGCGGTCCACTGTGCAGGAGCACAGCGCGTTTAGGTTTGCCGTTCAGCTCTACAACACCAACCAGAACACTACGGAGAAGCCCTTCCATCTCAACTACAATGTAGACAACCTCGAGTCGTCCAACAGCTTCTCAGTCACCCATGCATGTAAGTACAGAGCTGTTTCAATTAAAATCTCCCTCTGCTCTGAATATGTCCAGAATATTCCCCTTGAACACACAAGTGCGCAAACACAGACACACCACACACACACACACACATTCATATGGCATTCATATTAACATAGTGAATACATGGAATGAAAATGCTCCTTCTTGGTCTGATTTAAATTCAAGCGTGTAGGCCTACTGTAGATAGGGCCAGGGTACAGATGGTGGGGTGCCAGAGTGCCTTTAGCGATGTCTCAATGGATCACTGTTGTTAAGCTACACCAGCGATCACCAACCTTTTCTGAGTCAAGATCACTTTCTGAGTCGAACATGACTTAGCCTATGCAACATTAACCAATCAAAAACAGTTCTGTAACAATGAGGTTTGTGCAGTAGGCTATAGGCCCAATACATTATCTCTGCATATTGGCTATGCTTGAATTGCCCTGCCAATGTTGTTCTAAGAACATTTTGAAATTAAAATTTTAAAAATGTGGTATATGATCACACTGGTAATAGATACCTTTTTTTTTTACTGGACTGATGGCCTGCAACTGATGGTCAGTCTGAGGGGAGGGTTAGCAGCGGTGAGGCTGACTCTCACCCGACACAACGTCCCTCCTCTCTCCCTCCCTCCGCTCTCCATCGCTTCTCTCTCCCTCCCTCCCTCCCTCCCTCCGCTCTCCCTCCCTCCGATCTCCCTCCTTCCGCTCTCCCTCCGCTCTCCCTCCCTCCGCTCTCCCTCCCTTCCTCCACTGAGAAAAAGGAGGCACAGTCTTCCAGCTGATGGCGAAACTAAGTCACACTGCATTATTTCTGCCTCATGCACCAATTCATGTTGTTACTCCTAAGACCAGAGAAAGTGAAATATTCCTCGATATAAAAAAAGACACAAGCCGCTAATAATAACAACGCAAGCTTATCGGAACACTATGCTGTACTCATTCATTACAGCAGCAGTGCTGGTTGCAGCGTATGTGGAAGTTGGGAGAACGCGCATTTTATGGCTTATAAAAATTGTGTTGACAAACTGTCAACAAAGTGTTGACAGTGCTGAACAACAACTTAAACACGAACTTACTCATAAAAACATCAGCTCTTTGCTGTATTTGTTGTCTCTCTCTCTAGTCATGGTTTTAAAAGTTTTGAAATCTCACAGTATCAACTTTGCTGTGCGTTCAAGGTTTCATTTTACAGTCGAGGAAACTGTGCAGACACGGTGATCTGAGCTATCTGATTGGCCAGCCATAGGCCTATAGGTGCACTTGATTTGCCCTCTGGGCCTGCTGGGTAGGCAGAGTTCTACCTTCAGACACATTAAATGGTTCAAAATGGAAACACTTTGCATTCCCGGCGCTAGTGCTGCTGAATCAAGTGCACCTACCTCCAACAGCGCAAAGTGGGGAAAAAAAATAGGAAGGCAAGGCTTTATAGTTGGGCTTTTTACAGAAATGCTCAGTGATCGACTGGGAATAACTTGGAGATGGACCAGTCGTTAACCACTGCGCTACACTGAGGTACAGATGTCTCAAAGGTTCACTGTTGGTACACTACACTGAGGTAGAGATGTCTAAATGGTTCACTGTTGGTAGGCTGCATGGTATTACTGAGGTAAACATCTCTGTGGTGAATACAAACCAAGATGTGCATCTCAAAAAAGCACCTTATTCATTTTGTAGTGCACTACTTTTGACCAGAGCCCATCAAAAGTAGTGCACTACAAAGGCAAAGGGTGTCATTTGGGATAAGAATACAAACCAAATTCCCTTGGCAACATCCTGAGGAGAAGACCATGGATGTATGATGGGGATGGCGTGGTATCTTTACAGTGAGGCAGAGGCTGTATGGCCTTGGAAAGGAAAGACAAGAAAACATCAACAAATATGCAACAACCATGGAGCCAAGGATTCAGTGTGGGTGGTTTCAGTGTGCTCCTTAACAGACGTAAATGGTTGGATAAAACTGAGTTGGATAAAAAAAAAAACATCAGAATAGTGTTTTTAATCTAGGTAGGAGTATCGGCTCTGATATGGGTATCTCCATATTTAAAAAGAGTGTAAGAGTAGGAGTTGCCTTTCAGATCATAATGAATACGATTACATGGACAGGGGGACCTAAACACCTGATCCTAGACCAGCACTCCTTCTCTGGGACGCTTTAGGAATACAGGGCCTGATCCTAGATCACCACTACTTCTCTGGGATGCTTTAGGAATACAGGCCCTGATCCTAGATCACCACTCCTTCTCTGGGACGCTTTAGGAATACAGGCCCTGATCCTAGACCAGCACTCCTTCTCTGGGATGCTTTAGGAATACAGGCCCTGATCCTAGATCACCACTACTTCTCTGGGATGCTTTAGGAATACAGGCCCTGATCCTAGATCACCACTCCTTCTCTGGGACGCTTTAGGAATACAGGCCCTGATCCTAGATCACCACTCCTTCTCTGGGACGCTTTACAGGCTCTAATCAGATGCATCGTTCCTTCCTATAAGCTTTTCCACCTGTATCACTGCACCACTGGATAGAAATCAATACAGACTCCACTCCATCAGTAACACGTTTCTCCCTCCATGCTGCTGTTACATGTAGCTCCTCTCAGTGTGGCCAATGGCTTATTCATCCAGTCAACCTTTCAAACTGCTCTGCTCTCTACTGTGTTCAAACTTCTCACTGCTCTGCTCTCTACCGTGTTCAAACTTCTCTCTTCTCTGCTTTCTACTGAGTTCAAACTGCTCTCTTCTCTGCTATCTACTGTGTTCAAACTGCACTCTGCTCTGCTCCCTACTGTGTTCAAACTGCACTCTGCTCTGCTCTCTACTGTGTTCAAACTACTCTTTGCTCTACTCTCTACTGTGATCAAACGTATCTCTTCTCTGCTCTCTACTGTGTTCAAACATCTCTCTTCTCTGCTCTATTGTGACATTGTTTGTTGTTGCCGGGTGTCGATGTGAATGGCCTTCATTATGATGCTGTATATTGTGTTCCCTGTGGCCTTGTTTAGATCTGATTACAGGCAACATAAAGAAAGAGTCATGAAGGAAAACGATGAAAAGGTGAAAGGGAGGAAAGGCTGGCAAGACTAAGTGAATATGGTATCACAGTAGACTCACAGTAGACTCACAGTAGACTCTCAGTAAACTCACAGTAGACTCTCAGTACACTCACAGTAGACTCTCAGTAAACTCACAGTAGACTCTCACTAAACTCACAGTAGACTCTCACTAAACTCACAGTAGACTCTCACTAAACTCACAGTAGACTCTCAGTACACTCACAGTAGACTCTCAGTAAACTCACAGTAGACTCTCAGTAAACTCACAGTAGACTCTCAGTAAACTCACAGTAGACTCTCACTAAACTCACATTAGACTCTCAGTAAACTCACAGTAGACTCTCAGTAAACTCACAGTAGACTCTCACTAAACTCACAGTAGACTCTCAGTAAACTCACAGTAGAATCACAGTAAACTCACAGTAGACTCTCAGTACACTCACAATAGACTCTCAGTACACTCACAGTAGACTCTCAGTACATTCACAGTAGACTCACAGTAGACTCAGTACACTCACAGTAGACTCACAGTAGACTCACAGTACACTCACAGTAGACTCACAGTAGACTCACAGTAGACACAAAGTATACTCACAGAAGACACAGTAGAGTCATAGTAGACTCACAGTAGACACAAAGTATACTCACAGAAGACACAGTAGAGTCATAGTAGACTCACAGTAGACTCACAGTATACTCACATTAGACTCACAGTAGACTCACAGTAGACACAAAGTATACTCACAGAAGACACAGTAGAGTCATAGTAGACTCACAGTATACTCACATTAGACTCACAGTAGACTCACAGTAGACTCACAGTACACTCACAGTACACTCACAGTAGACTCACAGTAGACTCACAGTAGACTCAGTAGACTCCAGTAGACTCACAGTAGACTCACAGTAGAGTCAGTATCTAGATGTGGTCAAAAGGTTAGCCCAGATAGGGCAAAGACCATGGCCTATTCTCAACATCATAGTAGTATTCTGCTGCAGAGCCTTGTAAACAGACGTCTCTGGTCCTCTGTGGTTCTGTCCACTCCTATAATACTTTTATAATGTTTACTGGTCATTCAGCAGACATGTTTATCCAAAGCATCTTACAGTTAACACATGACCCATCCAGGAATTAAACCCACAACCCTTGTGTCTGGTCATTGTGGCTCTCCTCTCCTCTCCTCTCCTCTCCTCTCCTCTCCTCTCCTCTCCTCTCCTCTCCTCTCCTCTCCTCTCCTCTCCTCTCCTCTCCTCTCCTCTCCTCTCCTCTCCTCTCCTCTCCTCTCCTCTCCTCTCCTCTCCTCTCGTCTCGTCTCGTCTCGTCTCATCGTCTCCTCTCCTCTCGTATCCTTATCTCCTCTCCTCTCGTCTCGTCTCATCTCCTCGTATCCTCTCCTCGTCTCGTCTCGTTGCCTCTCATATCCTCGTCTCCTCTCCTCGTCTTGTCCCCTCTCCTCGTCTCGTCTCATCTCCTCTCCTCGTCTCATCTCCTCATCTCGTTTCATCTCCTCCTCTCGTCTCCTCGTCTCGTCGCCTCTCCTCTCCTCTCGTCTCCTCTCCTCGTCTCGTCGCCTCTCGTCTCGTCTCCTCATCTCGTCTCCTCGTCTCATCGCCTCTCCTCTCCTCGTCTCGTCGCGTCTCCTCATCTCGTCGCCTCTCCTCACGTCTCCTCTCCTCATCTCCTCGTCTCGTCTTGTTGCCTCTCCTCTCCTCTCCTCTCCTCTCGTCTCGTCTCCTCCTCTCGTCTCCTCTCCTCGTCTCGTCTCCTCGTCTCGTCTCGTCTTGTCGCCTCTCCTCTCATCTCCTCTCTTCGTCTCATCTCGTCTCCTCGTCTCGTCTCGTCTCCTCTCCTCTCCTCTTCATCTCCTCTGTCTCCCCCAGCTCAGCTCTCTCTGCAGTGTCAGCTCATTAACACACAGACCTCATACCGCCTCACTGCGCTGTCATTGGGTGAAGGAATAAAAATCCATACCCCCCACCAACCCCCACCTCAAAGTAACATACACCGGCAAATGAGTTGGGACTGAGTCCTACAGTGGAGAGGTGGGATGGTGGAGAGGTGGGGTGGTGGAGAGGTGAGGGAGCTGAAGCAGAGAAAGCAAAGCCCCCCATATCACAGTTAGCCAAAACAAAGACAACCAGGTGTTTTTCTAAGTGGAATGTGTCAGTGGACAGCCAGAAGACATTTGTTTGCTCTGCAAGCTGTCATGAGTGTTTACTATTTACCACACTAGTATATGGGTACAAGGAACCATCACTGGACATTATGTTGTGAGGAAGGAGGTTTATGTTTCCTATGCGTCCCCAATGGCATCCTATTCCCTATGAAGTGCACTACTATTGACCAGAGCACTATGGGCCCTGGGCTTTGGTCAAAAGTGGCACACTATATACAGATCTAGGATCTGAATTTGATCACTCTTTTGTTGATGAGAATTTTCCTGCGCCACAGGAAATGCAGATGAGCTTCGTGATTTACATAAATTCACTAAAATCCTGCACGAACACACGGTTATATTAAAAGTATTCCACTTTTCATGTAGCCTCATTTTGACCAGCTAATAGCCTAACCACCAATCAAGCAACATTATGGAATAAACGTTCAAATCCTGTTGCTGTAGGATTCTTTTGCTCAACATTACAGGTCAAATTAAGTTCCTACATCTGTAGGGAATGTTTATCATCCTGTCCTTACTTCCTGCTTTCTCCTTCGTCTCAGACCTCTGTGTGTCAGCAGGGGTGGAACTCACGTCTAGTTTAGAATCACTACATGCTGTTTGAATCACGATTTAACAAACACACATAAGCACACACACACACACACACACTATGGTTAAATGGTGGGAACCCTGTTATCGAGATTTACCGGGATTTACCGCCCAAAACCACTAAATCACTGCGAGAAACTGGTTTTAAAATTATTTATATGACCAGCATGAAATGGAACTGTTAAATTATACAGTGCCTTTGGAAAGTACTCAGACCCCTTGACTTTTTCCACATTTTGTTAACTCTCCTCTCCTCTCCTCTCCTCTCCTCTCCTCTCCTCTCCTCTCCTCTCCTCTCCTCTCCTCTCCTCTCCTCTCCTCTCCTCTCCTCTCCTCTCCTCTCCTCTCCTCTCCTCTCCTCTCCTCTCCTCTCCTCTCCTCTCCTCTCCTCTGTCTCCCCCAGCTCAGCTCTCTCTGCAGTGTCAGCTCATTAGCACACAGACCTCATACCGCCTCACTGCGCTGTCATTGGGTGAAGGAATAAAAATCCATACCCCCCAACAACCCCCACCTCAAAGTAACATACACCGGCAAATGAGTTGGGACTGAGTCCTACAGTGGAGAGGTGGGATGGTGGAGAGGTGGGGTGGTGGAGAGGTGAGGGAGCTGAAGCAGAGAAAGCAAAGCCCCCCATATCACAGTTAGCCAGCCAGAGAAGCGTGGGCTGGGCTGTTACCCTGCCATGGCGTCCTAGCTAACGAACACGCCCTGTGCCCTCTCCTTCACGCTGTTGATAGGGACACAGAAACAATAAGCAAATTAGTAAATAAATAATAGATAACGCCGTTGGTAATTTCACGCGTGTTGAAGGAGCAGGGGAGCATGGGAGAAAGAGGGCTAGATATCAGAATCTAATTAAAACCATGAAGGCAGGCAGGAGCAGAGACAGTCTTCTTCTTCTTAGCTTAGAGAGAGGATCGGGCTCCTGAGGGAGCCGCTGTGGCCCCATTTCTGCTTTCTCACTCACACACACCGCCGCCACAATGCACATCTTATAGCAGCTCGATGAAGAGTGTGCGTGTGTGTGTGCATGTGGGTGCATTTGTGTGTGCGTGCATACACTGTGTGAGAGAAATGTACGAGCCTTTGATGATGTTGAGGAAAGTGTGGAAAAGCAACGTGTGCTCTGTCTGTCTCTGCACTGAAAATAGTGTGAAGTTGTAAACAGCCATTCCAGTTTTGTTGTGGGAACTGTTTATTTGATGAGTTTATGAAGTCGTCTGCTAGGGGTTGAATCTGCCTGTCTTCTACTGTATGAGCAGGACATACCGTCCTACATACTGTCCTACATACTGTCCTGCATACTGTCCTGCATACTGTCCAACATACTGTCCTGCATACTGTCCTACATACTGTCCTGCATACTGTCCTGCATACTGTCCTACATACTGTCCTGCATACTGTCCTACATACTGTCCTACATACTGTCCTGCATACTGTCCAACATACTGTCCTGCATACTGTCCTACATACTGTCCTGCATACTGTCCTGCATACTGTCCTACATACTGTCCTGCATACTGTCCTACATACTGTCCTACATACTGGCTTACATAATGTCCTACATACTGTCCTACATACTGTCCTGCATACTGTCCTGCATACTGTCCTACATACTGTCCTACATACTGTCCAACATACCATCCTACATACCGTCCTGCATACTGTCCTACATACTGTCCTACATACTGTCCTACATATTGTCCTGCATAGTGTCCTACATACCGTCCTATATACTGTCCTACATACCGTCCTGCATACCGTCCTACATACTGTCCTACATACTGTCCTGCATACTGGCCTACATACTGTCCTACATACTGTCCTACATACTGTCCTACATACTGTCCTGCATACTGTCCTACATACTGTCCTACATACTGTCCTGCATACTGTCCTACATACCGTCCTACATACCGTCCTACATACTGTCCTGCATACTGTCCTGCATACTGTCCTGCATACTGTCCTACATACTGGCCTACATACGGTCCTACATACTGTCCTACATACTGTCCTACATACCATCCTACATACTGTCCTACATACTGTCCTACATACCGTCCTGCATACTGTCCTACACACTGTCCTACATACTGTCCTACATACCGTCGTACATACTGTCCTACATACTGTCCTACATACTGTCCTACATACTGTCCTGCATTCTGTCCTACATACTGTCCTACATACTGTCCTACATACAGTGAGGGAAAAAAGTTTTTGATTCCCTGCTGATTTTGTATGTTTGCCCACTGACAAAGAAATGATCAGTCTATAATTTTAATGGTAGGTTTATTTGAACAGTGAGAGACAGAATAACAACAAATAAATCCAGAAAAATGCATGTCAAAAATGTTATAAATTGATTTGCATTTTAATGAGGGAAATAAGTATTTGACCCCTCTGCAAAACATGACTTAGTACTTGGTGGCAAAACCCTTGTGGTCTAAGGCACTGCATCGCAGTGCTAGCTAGGCCACTAGAGATCCTGGTTCGAATCCAGGCTCTGTCGTAGCCGGCCGCGACCGGGAGACCCATGGCGTGGTGCACAATTGGCCTAGCGTCGTCCAGGGTAGGGGAGGGAATGGCCGGCAGGGATGTAGCTCAGTTGGTAGAGCATGGTGTTTGCAACGCCAGGGTTGTGGGTTTGAAAAATACAAAAAATAATGTATGCACTCACTAACTGTAAGTCGCTCTGGATAAGAGCGTCTGCTAAATGACTAAAATATAAAAGTAAAAATGTAATCACAGAGGTCAGACGTTTCTTGTAGTTGGCCACCAGGTTTGCACACATCTCAGGAGGGATTTTGTCCCACTCCTCTTTGAAGATCTTCTCCAAGTCATAAAGGTTTCGAGGCTGACGTTTGGCAACTCGAACCTTTAGCTCCTTCCACAGATTTTCTATGGGATTAAGGTCTGGAGACTGGCTAGGCCACTCCAGGACCTTAATGTGCTTCTTCTTGAGCCACTCCTTTGTTGCCTTGGCCGTGTGTTTTGGTTCATTGTCATGCTGGAATACCCATCCACGACCCATTTTCAATGCCCTGGCTGAGGGAAGGAGGTTCTCACCCAAGATTTGACGGTACATGGCCCCGTCCATCGTCCCTTTGATGTGGTGAAGTTGTCCTGTCCCTTTAGCAGAAAAACACCCCCAAAGCATAATGTTTCCACCGCCATGTTTGACGGTGGGGATGGTGTTCTTGGGGTCATAGGCAGCATTCCTCCTCCTCCAAACATGGCAAGTTGAGTTGATGACAAAGAGCTCGATTTTGGTCTCATCTGACCACAACACTTTCACCCAGTTCTCCTCTGAATCATTCAGATGTTCATTGGCAAACTTCAGACGGCCCTGTATATGTGCTTTCTTGAGCAGGGGGACCTTGCGGGCGCTGCAGGATTTCATTCCTTCACGGCGTAGTGTGTTACCAATTTCTTTCTTGGTGACTATTGTCCCAGCTGCCTTGAGATCATTGACAAGATCCTCCCGTGTAGTTCTGGGCTGAATCCTCACCGTTCTCATGATCATTGCAACTCCACGAGGTGAGATCTTGCATGGAGCCCCAGGGCGAGGAAGATTGACAGTTCTTTTGTGTTTCTTCCATTTGCGAATAATCGCACCAACTGTTGTCACCTTCTCACCAAGCTGCTTGGCGATGGTCTTGTAGCCCATTCCAGCCTTGTGTAGGTCTACAATCTTGTCCCTGACATCCTTGGACAGCTCATTGGTCTTGGCCATGGTGGAGAGTTTGGAATCTGATTGATTGATTGCTTCTGTGGACAGGTGTCTTTTATACACGTAACAAACTGAGATTAGGAGCTCTCCCTTTAAGAGTGTGCTCCTAATCTCAGCTCGTTACCTGTATAAAAGACACCTGGGAGCCAGAAATCTTTCTGATTGAGAGGGGGTCAAATACTTATTTCCCTCATTAAAATGCAAATACTTTTATAATATTTTTGACATGCATTTTTCTGGATTTTGTTGTTGTTATTCTGTCTCTCACTGTTCAAATAAACCTACCATTAAAATTATAGACGGATTATTTCTTTGTCAGTGGGCAAACATACAAAATTAGCAGGGGATCAAATACTTTTCCCCCTCACTGTACTGTCTTGCATACCCTCCTACATACCGTCCTACATACTGTCCTACATACTGTCCTACATACCGTCCTACATACTGTCCTGCATACTGTCCTACATACTTTCCTACATACCGTCCTACATACTGTCCTACATACCATCCTGCATACTGTCCTACATACCGTCCTACATACTGTCCTACATACCGTCCTACATACTGTCCTGCATACTGTCCAACATACTGTCTTACATACTGTCCTACATACTGGCCTACATACCATCCTGCATACTGTCCTGCATACTGGCCTACATACCGTCCTACATACTGTCCTACATACAGTCCTACATACTGTCCTACATACTGTCCTGCATACTGTCCTACATACTGTCCTACATACTGTCCTACATACTGTCCTGCATACTGTCCTACATACCGTCCTACATACTGTCCTACATACCATCCTACATACTGTCCTGCATACTGTCCTACATACTTTCCTACATACCGTCCTACATACTGTCCTACATACCGTCCTGCATACTGTCCTGCATACTGGCCTACATACCGTCCTACATACTGTCCTACATACCGTCCTACATACTGTCCTACATACTGTCCTGCATACTGTCCTACATACTGTCCTACATTCTGTCCTACATACTGTCCTACATACCGTCCTACATACTGTCCTACATACTGTCCTGCATACTGTCCTAAATACTGTCCTACATTTTGTACTACATACCGTCCTACATACTGTCCTACATACTGTCCTGCATACTGGCCTACATACTGTCCTACATACCAACCTACATACCGTCCTACATACTGTCCTGCATACTGGCCTACGTACTGTCCTACATAATGTCCTACATACCATCCTACATACTGTCCTATATACTGTCCTGCATACTGTCCTACATACTGTCCTGCATACTGGCCTACATACCATCCTACATACTGTCCTACATACCGTCCTACATACTGTCCTACATACTTTCCTGCATACTCTCCTACATACTGTCCTACATAGCGTCATACATAGCGTCCTACATACTGTCCTACATACTGTCCTACATACCGTCCTGCATACTGTCTTGCATACTGTCCTGCATACTGTCCTACATACTGTCCTGCATACTGTCCTACATACTGTCCTACATACCGTCCTACATAGCGTCCTACATACTGTCCTACATACTGTCCTACATACCATCCTACATAGCGTCCTACATACTGTCCTACATACCGTCCTACATAGCGTCCTACATACTGTCCTACATACTGTCCTACATACCGTCCTACATAGCGTCCTACATACTGTCCTACATACCATCCTACATAGCGTCCTACATACTGTCCTACATACTGTCCTACATACCTTCCTGCATACTGTCCTAGGCTCAGGGGAAACCCCAAATGCCACCATATTCCTTATATAGTGCACTACCCTATGGGCCCTGGATCCTGGTCAAAAGTAGTGCACCATAAAGGGAACATTGTGCCATTTGGGAGGCAGGTTCAGTCTTCTACTCAACATGAAGGCTGTCAAACTGTTGCTGGACCTGACTAGGACTTTGAGCTGGAGCTTTTGAAATCATTCTTTATCTAACAGTGGAATGTCATGTTATTCTCCTTCAACATGATCAGCAGCATGTACTAGACCAGATCTGAGCCTCGTTTCCTGTTCAGGTAGCTAGCTAGCGTAGCGTCCTGGGAGCCCTGTCAAGCTGAGCCTGCAAATAGCAGACAGTTCCTGCTGAGCTACAGCACAATAGTCCTCACACACACACACACACACACACACGTACACGCACATGCACACGCGCGCAAACACACACACATGCACAGACACACATGCAAAAGCATGAAAGATCGCATGCACACACACACACACACACACACACACACACACACACAGACACACACACACCACTGTGCGCACAATAGTCCTTAGATGGTCACTCCGGATCAGTGCCGGAAATCTCTCTCTCTGAATGTGACAAGAATGTTGTTGAATTGAGAGTCAGTGGTGTGTTGAGTCATTCTGATGCTACTGAAGCTGGTCGTACCACAGTTGTATCAGTGCAGGGCCCGTAGCCACAAAGCCTCTCAGAGTAGGAGTTATGCTCTAGGATCAGCACAGGAAAGGACCTGATAGGATCAGCACAGGAAAGGACCTGATAGGATCAGCACAGGAAAGGACCTGATAGGATCAGCACAGGAAAGGACCTGATCCTAGATCAGCACTCCTTCTCTTTGTGGATATGGGCCCTGGTCATGGTTTTCAAATAAAAGGTCTGACGAAGGCAGTGAGGCCGATACGTACGTCAGCTTAAACAACTGATACTGGTAGCGCAGTGAGGCCAACACGTACTTCAGCTTAAACAACTGATACTGGTAGAGTAAGTGCATAGTGCAGAGTTTAACTTTTTCTGTGAGTCATGTTGTTATGAAACATTAAAGTGGATTTAACCTAAAGCGTTATAGCTACCGACTGACCAGTTAGCCAAAACAAAGACAACCAGGTGTTTTTCTAAGTGGAATGTGTCAGTGGACAGCCAGAAGGCATTTGTTTGCTCTGCAAGCTGTCATGAGTGTTTACTATTTACCACACTAGTATATGGGAACAAGGAACCATCACTGGACATTATGTTGTGAGGAAGGAGGTTTATGTTTCCAATGCGTCCCCAATGGCATCCTATTCCCTATGAAGTGCACTACTATTGACCAGAGCACTATGGGCCCTGGGCTTTGGTCAAAAGTGGCACGCTATATACAGATCTAGGATCTGAATTTGATCACTCTTTTGTTGATGAGAATTTTCCTGCGCCACAGGAAATGCAGATGAGCTTTGTGATTTACATAAATTCACTAAAAACCCGCACGAACACACGGTTATATTAAAAGTATTCCACTTTTCATGTAGCCTCATTTTGACCAGCTAATAGCCTAACCACCAATCAAGCAACATTATGGACTAAACGTTCAAATCCTGTTGCTGTAGGATTATTTTTGCTGCAACATTAGAGGTCAAATTAAGTTCCTACATCTGTAGGGAATGTTTATCATCCTGTCCTTACTTCCTGCTTTCTCCTTCGTCTCAGACCTCTGTGTGTCAGCAGGGGTGGAACTCACGTCTAGTTTAGAATCACTACATGCTGTTTGAATCACGATTTAACAAACACACATAAGCACACACACACACACTATGGTTAAATGGTGGGAACCCGGTTACCAAGATTTACCGGGATTTACCGCCCAAAACCACTAAATAACTGCGAGAAACTGGTAAATTATAATAAATGATTTACATGACCAGCATGAAATGGAACTGTTATATTATACCGTGCCTTCGGAAAGTACTCAGACCCCTTGACTTTTTCCACATTTTGTTACGTTACAGCTTTATTCTAAAATGGATCCTCAGCAAACTACACACAATACCCCATAATGACAAAGCGAAAACAGGTTTTTAGACATTTTGGCCCAGACTTGAACCCGATAACAGCACAATAATTTGGCCTTTTTTTGGTTTGGGCTCATTAAATGTCGTTAATATATGGCTCATCAGGTTCAGGTAGCATCAGGTTAGAATTTTCATGCAGATCAAAGCTCTAATCCAATCCAAACATTTATATGCTTTATAATGCTTTTGAATGACACTTCCGTTTTTTGGCGGTTACATGGGAGAACAATTATTCATACTCCGGATGGAACATTTCTAAAATCCCGGGAAAATATTCAACCCTAACACACAATGGCATTCACTGCAGTAATCCCTACAGTATGTTTGATTAAGCTGTTTTAGTGCAAGCTTTCAAAATTGTGGTCAAATTTGTGACGTGTCTGTTCGGTTTGTTTAAAAACAGCAGTGCGCTTTTGTGACGTTACTTTTGTGACGTTACCCCCCCCAACTCTTTAGCATGAAGTTCCAGTTTTGAACAGTATTAGTGTTGCCGCTCTTGTTGTGGTTTAATACCCCATTCATTATAACACCACAGTACCACAGTAACTAGTTACCTCAAAGATAGTGAAATGAGACCCAGTGCAACCTTAGACTTACCATTTACAATGCAGTACATCCAAACAATGCCAGTATGCTAATACTGGTGAAATAATGAATAAGTCGAGAGTTACAGAACGTGTTAGAACCATTTCTTTCAAGTGCAGATGGAAGCTTTCACACAGTAATTGAATTACTGACCGGCAGCAAAACAATGTGTGTCTTCAGTAATCCTTCAGGCTGCGCTTTGTAGTGTTAACTGCCACCATAGGGTGCTTGAGGTGTGCACAAACACACACACACACACACACACACACACACACACACACACACACACACACAGACACAGACACACACAGACAGACAGACAGACAGACAGAATAAATTCAGAGCAAAAGGCACCTTAGCGTGAGAAAGAAAAGAAGCCGACAGCATTCATGATCTGATGGCCATGTTTACAGCATCCCTTTGCCCCTTTCTGTTCTTTTACCTGAAGCAAGAAAACCTCAAGCCACCATCACCATCTCTCTCTCTCTCTCTCTCTCTCTCTCTCTCTCTCTCTCTCTCTCTCTCTCTCTCTCTCTCTCTCTCCTCTCTCTCTCTCTCCTCTTTGCTATTAAGTAGCTTATTTATTTTCTGTTCTAGGCAAATTAACTTGAATCTCCTCTCCTCACAGACACACACACACACAGACACACACACACAAAGACACACACACACATTCACACACACACACACACACACACACACACATACACACACACATACACACACACACACACCATCCCTCATGCTGTCATTAACCTAATGATGTTATGGTCTTTTACATGTTGGATGTCTGCCTAGCCCTCTTTTATAGGATCCTCATCCTCTATCTCTTAAAACACCCGCCTAACAGATGGTTATTTGGCTCCAGCACAAAAATGTGTGTGTGTCTCTGTGTCCATGTGTATGTGTGTGTGTGTGTGTGTCTGTGTGTCCGTGTGTATGTGTGTATGTGTGTGTGGATGTGGGTGTGTGTGTGTGTGTCCAGCAGTTCTCGTTCCCGCTGTTGCCGCTGCGGACTGCCACAGCCTTAGCTAGCTTAGCTACTGGAGACATCAGAGAGGAACAGGGGGAACCACCAGATATCAGAGAGGAACAGGGGGGACCACCAGACATCAGAGAGGAACAGGGGGAACCACCAGATATTAGAGAAGAACAGGGGGGACCACCAGACATCAGAGAGGAACAGGGGGAACCACCAGATATCAGAGAGGAACAGGGGAACCACCAGATATCAGAGAGGAACAGGGGGGACCACCAGACATCAGAGAGGAACAGGGGGGACCACCAGACATCAGAGAGGAACAGGGGGAACCACCAGACATCTGAGAGGAACAGGGGGAACCACCAGATATCAGAGAGGAACAGGGGGAACCACCTGACATCTGAGAGGAACAGGGGGAACCACCAGATATCAGAGAGGAACAGGGGGGACCACCAGACATCAGAGAGGAACAAGGGCAACCACTAGATATCAGAGAGGAACAGGGGGAACCACCAGACATCTGAGAGGAACAGGGGGAACCACCAGACATCTGAGAGGAACAGGGGGAACCACCAGATATCAGAGAGGAACAGGGGGAACCACCAGACATCAGAGAGGAACAAGGGGAACCACCAGATATCAGAGAGGAACAGGGGGGACCACCAGACATCAGAGAGGAACAAGGGGAACCACCAGATATCAGAGAGGAACAGGGGGGACCACCAGATATCATAGAGGAACAGCCACCAGACATCAGAGAGAAACAGGCGGACCACCGGATATCAGAGAGAAACAGGGGGAAACACCAGATATCAGAGAGGAACAGGGT